GTTGCTGAAAACGAAATGATCTTTGCTTTTTCACTGGTTTTAACCTCAGCTGTGTGTAAACTGAGCTCTTCATGACTTGGTCATGGATGGGAGACAATGCCGGTACACAGAAAAGATTGCCATGAGTAGAATAAGAGAGTGCAAAGGGGCTGTTGCAAAATTTCCTCCCAAGGAAGTTAAGAGGAGGTGGATTTCAGGGGGCTGGAAAGAAGGTGATGTAGAACTGTGCAGGAAAGGATGGCCATCCAGCAGATAAGACATTATCAGCCCTAACTTCACCATACTTCGCTCAGGGTCTTGTGGCTGGTTGTGTGGCTGACTGGTTGTTTTTCCATAATGGTTGGGGAAGAGGGCAGTACGGAATGCTTTTTTACACAGCCAAAAAAAGCTTTGTGAATAGGGAAATCACGTGTTATGTTCCTGGCGGCGTTTATTAATGGCAAGCTAATGAAACAGAGCACTGCAGAGAATACTGGTGTACAGCTTTAAAGGGCAGGCACAAAAACCATGAAACAGAGCACTGACTAAGGGAGGCTAGAGCTTTATTAAAAAGCCTTTTCTAGCAGGGAGCCATCCTAACCTGCCTTCCAGTTCTGTTTCAGCCTGGATTTGAGTGGATGTTGAACAGCATAAGGATGCAATGGCGGTGTTGCAGAGAGAGGCATTGCTGAGATTTGCCTCTGAATCCCAGCTGGAGGCAGGGCTGAAGCTGTCCCTCTCCTTTATAGCAGTGGGCAGGAGCAGTGAGATGAGGGAAGCCACGTGGAGCTGTACCCCTTCATGTTGTATTTCCATGGTCTGGGCTGATGTCCAAGGCAGCCCACTGGGTTACAGGGACCTCAGGCTGAACCCTTTCTAACCCACCAAGTGCTCTGGAAGCTGCCAAACTCTCAACAACAGAGTTTAGACCCCTAAAACCAAAACGAAGTTTGCAAAACCAACACGGACACTTTTGGGAGCCAGATGGGGAAAACCTGTTTCAGCCCAAACTAGCAATCAGCTGAGCCCACACCACCACAAGAAGCCCAGTTCACTAGATAAGGATAGAAAGGCAGGAATAGAGAGACATAAGAAAAAAAACATGCAACCATTCATTTTTCAGCCAGTTGACTTTATGAGCTGACAGAATGTCTGAAGGTGTACCTCTGAATATCCCAGCCACAGTGTTATGATCTCAATTAGAAAAGATGTGGTTCTGTTAAATGGAACTAATGGCAACACTCATGATCTAGGGAAATGAACAGTTAATTGTCAGTTCATAACATTCTAACTAAGAAATGGTGTACTGAGAATTCAGCCATCCTTTTGGCTTCATTGCTACTCTTCGTCCCATGGTTCCTAACTCTGGACCAGTCATCGTCATTGGGAAAGGTTTGCTTATACCATCCATTTTCAGGTAATAACGATAATTTAATGTTAAAAGTTTTGATTCAAGTACAGTTTAAATAGAGCTTTGGCAGCTTAAGTAAAATCTGAGATCATGGAGAAACATCTATACTACTTGTAGGTCACTGTAAGGGAGTGTGAGTTGTTGAGGTAGATCTCTTTGTTCACCACCACCAGAACAAAATATAACACTTGTTTACAATTTTTATCTGAAGTACAGGATGTACAAACCTGTTCTGATAAGGATCCTGCTGTCTTTTGTAATGTTGACTGACATCAATCACAGCCTGAATTTGCCAAAGAAAGGGCAGTCTTAATCTGAGAGTTTTGGAGGTGGAAGGAGGTCATTGAAGGGCATACCAGTTTTCATCCTGTTTGGAGAAATTCATGAAGGGATTGTAAAGGTTTTGAGTTTAGTTTCACAACTGAAGACTGAAATAATAGTATTGACTGTATTACCATAGTACGCAGAGACTGCATGGCCCCTCCAGCAGTTCTGGACAAGAAGAGGGTACCTGCCGAAGGTGGATGCAATATAAGGAATGTACAGTACAAAAGTAAATGCAGAAGAGCTATTAAAAGAGAAAGTGATTTCCGTGATAGACTGCAGTTACATGTTACTTTTTTCCTTGTTGTTTTTTTTTTAATTCCCAAACGACTAGGTGTAATTGCTATAGTAAAACAGAGGCCTGTTCTTAGCACAGTCTAGAAAAATCTGTAAGTCGTGACCTGTGTTTTGTCTCAAAGACAATTGACTCTATCTATGGAACAAGTACTTTGTGTGGCATCAGCTACATAAGGGTTTGGGGTTCTTCCTTACTCTTCCTGTAGGGGGCCTGATGCTGCTTGCTGCAAAGGCAGGTGGGACTGCGGGGCAGACTGCACTCTGTTTGGTGATGGACTGCTTTTGAGGTCCGCGTGGATCCCTTGTGTCCAGTCCCAGAAGTATCCCCGAAGTCAGAATACTCCTTTGGAGCAGTCTGACATGCATACGCTGGGTACATCAAGTCGCCAGTGCCTTCAGAGCACTTCAGGGTGATCTGAAGAGCAATGGAGGACAGCAACAGTGGGGTAATCCATCCTTCAGCTCACAGAGTAACAAGTTGTGCTGCTGAGGCAGGTGGCATTGAGTCAGCCTGAAATCTGCCTCTGGCACCCAGGCGAAGCCTGGAAGTACGTCAACAGGGAGGATTTCCTCCGTGGCACGTTTATCTGCCTCGTGGATGGAGCTGGTGGTTTGTACTGCTTCTAGATGACCTTTGCCCAGCCATGTGCACAAGGAGATCCCTCATCTCCCTCGTATGTGAGCTGACCCCATTTATCCCCCTTCTCTCAAACGTAGAAGATGTTCCCTTTGGCTTTATGAAGATGTCGGTATGGCCTGTGCAGGGTGTCCCTCTCCATCTTGCCTTCACTCTACAACCGATCTGTTTAGTTCAGCAGAACCAGTCTGTTTGCCCATTCCATATATAAGACTTGACAAGATTTGACAAATTAACTACTTGTGCCATGTATGTTTATGGTTTTGTCTTTGTCACGGAACATATGGTATGCCTAATGCGGAATCTCAGTATTGACAATAGCCAGGATAGGGTGTTTCAGGGAAGTTACCAGGAATCATCACTGGGCAATTACAGGCAGTTTTGCCACCTTGAGGAAGAGGTTTTTGTAACCTTGTCACTCTTAGGTGCTTATGCACTTTGAAAAGTAACCTGTTCTTCACTCTGTGTTCTTTTTTAGCTGGAGGACTTCCCATGGTCTTTATAAAGGGATTTTTTTTGCTTTTGTTATTTGTATTACAGCAGAACAGCAGGGTCCAGGGGGCCAGATGAATTGGGGTCCCTTTGTTTCAAGTTGATTTGTGTATGAATAGAGGAAGAGACTTACTGTTCCAGAGGTGTTCTTGCTTTCAAATAGGGGAAAGTGTCAGATCTAAGAACCAGTCTAAATCAGCTGAATAGATGGGATCTACTAGAACATCTCATCTTTCAGCGTGCCAGGGATAATATCCACTTAGGCTGTTATTATTACAGTTTTTAATATTAGTGTTTCTGTTTTCCTTTTGCAATAGAACTCTGTTCTGTGATGAAATTTGGCTCTGACTCAAAACCAGGAGGGTTCTCCATGAAAATATTTAACATAGCTGATTATAAAAATCCCAAAGTGAATTCATAGCTCGCTTGATTGTTAGCTTATTTAGAGTAGATGAACTAAAATATTTGTGGCTTAAATATTTCTGACTTAATATTTTTAGATACTTAGTAAATACTATAATCTAGAGATTGAGAGAATGCATTTAGAGCTGCTTAGGTACCATAAAAAGATTGCTTGTTAGATCTGTATATGGAATAATTGCTTTGGGTCAAGTGAGATTTGAAGTAGCTTGGCAAATGCTTTTTATTGAGGTTGGTTTTCTGTACTACAGCACATAAGCGCGTGTGTGTGCCTGTAGAGAAGCTCTGCTGCAGTGCAGTGCCATGGAGGTGCTTAGCTGAGAGCTGTGCTTTGTCTTACTACCAGATTATTGATGGGCATTTCCTTCCTTGCTCTGCCTATTGAAAATTACTTGAAAAAACATTTTTAAAGAGTAGTTATTAATGAAGTACTGTCAAAAAGGAAAGATATATCTAATGAGCTTCTCTAGGGATCTATCTTTGGCCTAGCATTATTCAAAAATTCTATTAACCTCTTTGATGATGGAAATAAGGAATAAAAGTATAAAAATGGCAGTTGGCACCAGTCTAGAATAAATTTAGACCAACCAGCTTTGAAAGAGTTGGTCTAAAGAATAAAATTACTTTGCGAAGTCAGGAAAATTGTTCTTAATTAGTATGGAAAACAAATTAAAAAATTTATAACAATGGGGCAGGCTATCTAATGTGCTAATTCAGAATAATGAATCGCTGGAGCCATTGCTGCCTGTAACAGGGCAACCATACAACCTGACTTGTAAGTTCATTAGCAGTAACCATGCAGAATGCAAAAAGTCAAACATTGAACTGAAAGACTGTGTTTAGCATAAGGCTTCTGAAAGCTGGTGTGGCCAAAACTGCAAGGATCACTGCAAAGAGCAAACAAGAGTGCTAAGGCTTGTTCTTTTAAAGCTGACCTATGAGAGAAAGAAGTAAGATCTGCCTAGTCTAGAAGAAGGTAGACAAGTAGGGGGAAATTACAGTCTTCAAGCACGCAGGAAGTTTGAAAAACAGTGGTGACTGGTTTGTCTTCATGTCCATTGGAGATGACACAAGAGAGTAACGCTGTAGCTTAAAGCTAGATGTTGGGGAAAAAACATCCTGTCAATATAAATAGTGAAGATATTAAAATTTTTGTCACTGATGACGTTGCATAGTTGCAAAGAAACAGGGTGATTTTGTACAGTTAATCCTGCCACCTTCTAAGAAATGGGAGTAGAACTTTTTTTTAATATTCTGTTGAAACTGAACATATCTGTGATTTCTAGCATGATTTGTCCTTTAAAATTGTGAGCTGACACAAGAACAGGAAACAAATCCTGTGGTTTTTATGACCAAGTTGTGTGATGTGTGTTAGCAACTGGGTGTGCAAGTCATCTTTAGCCACATATGTAACTATGTCCCTTTGTCCTTCCTCAACAGTCTCCAAACGTCCACAACTACCCAGATATGGAAGCTGTACCCTTGTTACTAAACAACATGAAGGCAGACCCCACAGAGGATTCATTATCTACAGACCATTTCCAAACACAGACTGAACCAGTGGACTTGTCAATAAACAAAGCCAGGTCGTCCCCTACAGCAGCTTCATCTTCACCAGTTTCCATGACAGCATCAGCCTCCTCCCCTTCTTCTACTTCTACTTCTTCTAGTCGGCCAGCTTCATCACCCACAGTAATAACATCGGTATCCTCAGCGGCATCTGTACCGTCAGTATTAACTCCAGGTCCTCTTGTGGCCTCTGCATCTGGTGTTGGAGGCCAGCAGTTTTTGCACATTATCCATCCAGTACCACCTTCAAGCCCCATGAACTTGCAGTCCAACAAAATGAGTCACGTGCACCGTATCCCCGTGGTGGTACAGTCGGTACCTGTTGTCTATACAGCTGTGAGATCACCTGGGAACATGAACAACACTATAGTAGTACCACTGTTGGAGGATGGGAGAAGCCATGTCAAAGGTAAGATGGAACCAGTTTTGTGCATCTGTGGCATCTCTAAAACCACTCTTGTATGGGGAAAATGTAACAATGTTATAAAGCTGTTAGTTTCCAAACTTGCTGTTGTTTGCTGAAAAGACATACAAGTTACACTATCGGGAGGAACCTTTAAAAGTCTTATCCCAGATGCTCTTTAAAATAAATAAAATATTTTTATAAAGATTGAGGTCAGCAGTGGTGCTAGATGCTCAGACAACTCGTGGCAAGTTTTGTCCTGAGAGGAATAAATCCCTCCCCAGAAGCTGAAGTAGGACAGCAGAATAGTGACAATATATAAAACATCATAGATGAACATGGAAAACTCACCAGGTGATACAGATTTGGCAAGGGAAGGAATGTCAGAGAAATTGTTTCCATGCAAAGAGAAAGCAGTCGCTGGGCTGTAGGAATGCGCGGAGGAAAGGCTTTTGGACCAAAGAGTGGTGCAGATGCAGAGAGGTAGGTTTTATTAAGCTCAAGGAGTGGCAGTGCAATACTTTGAATTTGGTTTCTTCTTCCAGATTAAACAGCAGAAGGGAATGAAACCACACGGAGTGTATATTTTGGGAATGAGTTTTGCAGACACAGGACCTGAGAGGCACATGGAGGTGTGAAGGGAGGAAGAAAGCATGCACCAGAAGGACAGATACACTTGTGGAGAGGTGTCCAAAGAACACAGATAGGGGAGCTGGAGAGCAAGAAAAAATGAGAACATAACAGTTACTGAGGGAGCAAAAACTTGTTAGAGTTGGTGACATGATGGGTGGAGGAAGAAAAGAGAAAACAGATGTGCCCAGATACTTTGAAAAACATAGCTTTATAAAGAAGGCATTAGTGGCAGAGATGGGAACATGAGGAAAGGAATGAAAGGGACTCATTTCAAGGTTCATAGTTTATCGTGTGTGAGTGAATGAAATGTAGCTAATTTTCCCCTGAAATGAGGTCTATGTTCCTATGTCTCAACAGGCTTGGACATAGGAAGCGAGCTCACAGCTGATCTGGGTTTTGGTTTAAGCCTCAAAATGACAGTTTAAGAAGTTTTATTGCACTTCATACAGTGATGTAATTTTAGGACTTTGTACTGTTATGTCAAGAAATGATGAATGAAAGCAAAACTTTTCACCATGTTGTCTGGGAAAAAAAGAAAAAGGAAATTTTTAGTCTGCATTTTGATTTTGGAGCTTTGAGCGGCACCTGACCTTGAGCTCATCCAGAATTTTTCCTGTTTGTTTTCTTTTCAAAGGTGCTAGTTGGCTCTGGTAGTAGTCTCCTCTATAAGAAGCACCTCCTCATCTTGTAAAACTGGAACTTTGCTACCCCAGTTTCATCGTCAAAATTCCAGAATTTAATGTGCCATAGAGATTTCAGCCCATGAGCTCCGGGTCTTCTGAGCTGCCCTGACAATATCGCCTTTGTGCTGTTATTGGCAGAGATCATTAACCAGCCCTGCAGCACCTATTAATGTACAGCTGAAGAAAAAGAAAGGATTAAGCGTTCTTTAATTTTTTTTTTTCTCATCAGTTGTACCCATTTTGCTATCACTGATTCTTTTGATATAAATGTTCAGGTTAATTTGAATACATACAATAGAAGAATAATGGGCAACAATCCACTCTAGGTAGTTGTCTTTTCTCAGCTTTTGCTGGAGTGTGTTTTTCTTTCTTTAATGCAAAACAATATAAATAATAAAATGCAATGATATTGCACAAATTAACTGATTAAGTAAATTTCATATATGCACAGACTAACTTCCCTTCAGTGGTCAGCTCTCATGCTGAAAACAAGAAATAAACATAAACAGATGCTAACAGGACATTGCTGTCAAATTGAATTGGTTGCTAATCCTTTACCACCTGAAGGAGAAATGCAGGTTCGGAATCATGTAGAGTCACAACTTTTAACTTTTACATGAACATTGGTCATTTTCAGAGACAAAAAAGTACGCACTCTGAAACAAAGTTGATACCCAGATAGCATTGGCAGCATTTGTCGCATGTTCTCTGTGTTGTTGCTGCTTTGGTGCTAAATCAGAGACCGTGTTGATGATCCAAGGGTGTTGTTGGGAAGCACTTAAAGTTGTATTTTACATTAGGCTGTGTCTAAGTCCTTTTCACTTGAATGAGACTTGGGCACTTTCCTGAACAGAGATACTTCCAATGCTAAAATTAATGAAAATTACATCAGACTTCAGTTTAGACCTCTCATGTTTTTCTAGATACAGGTACTTAGGGGAAAGATGCAAGAAAGGAGTTAGAAAGGTTTTTTCCTTGTTATTCCCAGTTTTATTTTCCTCATGCTGAATTTTCCTCTTCCATCCAGGTTTGACTAGAACCGTTTCATTTTTAATTCTATTGCAAAACCTTCTTAGGTCACCACCATCCCTCTAATCCTGCCTCCAGGCATTTTGCTTGGGTGGCTTTCTGCTTCCCCTGATGCTTCCTAGTCCACCTTCCTCTCTCTCGGACAAAATTGTCTCCCGGCAGCTGCTTTTCTAGGCAGTTCAAGCAAATACTTCTTTCTTCATGTTCTGTTTGAATTCTCACTCCCCTCCAGCACAAGAAATCGCTACCTCTTCTGTTTCCCCCTCTTTTTTTATTTTTCCATTTTTTCTAGTCCTTCACATCTTGCTGACTGTTCTTTGAATGCCAGTTTCAGCAGCTCTACTTCATCTCTCCATCCTTATCTGTTAATATTTCTAACCCATACTGTCATCTCCTCTGCCACTGTGCATCCTTCTCTGTGGCATCATTCATCCTGGCGTTTTCCGTTGCACCTTCCTTCAGGAGAGTCTCAGATCTCCTTTTCTGCCTCCCAATGTGCTGCTCATTTCTGCTCTCTGTCCTGCCTCCTCTCTCCTATTTTTTACTTGCAAGGTTTCCTGTTAAATCAAACCCTTTCTGCAGCATTGAAAACCAGATGGGTTTGCAGAGAATTAGCTCTTATATGTATAAGCTGCTGGCAGCATCCCGTCAGGTCCTGTGCCACATGCTGTACCCCAAGGGGGGCAACGGGAGCCCAGGGTATCATGCTACAAAAGCACCCTTCTGTCAGATTGATGCTTTTTGCAGGATAAAAACCTCTCAGTTCACCTAGTGTAAATCAAAATCAGGATCGAAGCATTTTTAGGAATCTATTAACAACACATAATTAGAAGGTAATCAGTGGACGATATGTTCAGTATCGGTAATACAACACTAGCCATTTACAATGTCTTACCAAATTCCTACAAGTTTCTAACACTGTTTGGTAATCCCACAACACTGACATAGGTGCACACACACACACTGTTACGTGCGGAGTCCCCTGCTGATCGTGGACCTTCCCCTCCTGACATCCCTCTGATGCACCCGCTGGGGAGGCGGCACCCCAGGGAGACCCCCAAAGTGGGGGTCTTGTGTGCTGCCCCACACTGCCAGCCCAGCTGTGCAAGTTGCCCCCTACAACCTAATCCTTACATTATTTCATGTGCACAAAGTGTTGTAATGTGTTAGGGCCGTTGGGGCACGGACAGGACGGGAGCCAGGCACAAGTCCCCGTGGGCACCGTGGGTCCGGGCTGCACCCTCTGCCACCCCCTACAATGTGGCAGAGATGAAGTTCACTCCCTTCAGTGGTCACCACTGTTGTCTTGCCATCCAAAGCCTTAAAAAGCACTTGGAGATTTTTTTCTGCATGGAGTAGGTGGTGACCACTAGACATTATTATACATTAAAGTATTCCAGAGCATTAAAATGCCATGAAAAACTCTTTCCTTGCCTTTTTTACTCCTGGTTCAGCAATGGTGAGGATTGCTAAAAGGTGTAATTAGAGGCACAGCAGGTAGCAGCACCTATAGATAAGGTTGCCTGATAGTTTCCGTTAAAACCCTGTCTTTAGTTGCTCAAAGTCTGTCTATATGCTAACCATTTAGGCTAACATTTTCCATGCTGCATGTCTGCCTCAGGCTATTTCTTTTTTCTTTTTTTTCTTTCTTTCTGAGGAAAGTTTCAAGAGAAAAACTATTCCACTCTTCCTGAGACTGAGCGTAGAGAAAAAAATGTAGCATTTTCCATGTTGAAAAATTTATTCCAGCTTTTTTCGGTGAAAAGCTCTAGAACCTCTGTGGTGTTGTGCCATGAACCTCAAGTTTGGTTTGGACCATTGTCTTTTTTTTGTCTTTATAGGCAGTTGCAGAAGCCAAGCCAAATTGGGAGATCTGAAAAAAATATGAGTCCCCTTAAAGGGTAAAGCAAAAAATATTGTGGCTGGGAGAAAGCATGGGAGGTTGGAAGGGGCTGGGCAGTGGGGAGAGGGGCAGGATGGAAGGGAAGGGGGAAGAAGAGGAGGGGTGGTGAGATGGCTACGGATGTGTGAACATGTTCAGGAGGAAAAGTGGGAGAGGGTTGGAGACAGAATAAGGGGGAAGAAGCAAAAGGAGGGTAGAAGAGTGATCTGGGCAAGGTGAAGGGGAACAAGGAGAGGCTCAGAGCAGACAGGAGCGAAAGGGCCTGCCCTGGCAGCATCATGTTCCCCTACTAACTCTGGTCCTATTAGCCTGAGTCTTTCCACTGCTTTGCTTTCAGAAGATATCCTTGAATACTACTGGCAAATCATGTCCCTCTAGCAGCAGATTTTGCCAAAGATAATATCCTTAAAAATTGTTTTCTGTAGTTCAGAAGAGTTATTCCATTCACTGAAGGGCCTTTTAGAAGCTCCCTCCTGATAATGGTGCACCAAGGACCTGTGCAACTTTGGTATTTCTGGGGTTTGGGGTTCAAGTTTTTGGGTTCTCGCTCTTAAGGGTTTTAAAGTTTTCAGAAGACACAACCACTTGCAAATTCCAGTAGTCAGAACATTATAAATTTAAATTTGTTGACTGAACTTCATCTGCTTCCGGTGTACGTAAACATCTGTAATGACATTGGTGTGGACTATTTTTATGATACTATGTCTGTGTATAGACCTAGCAGAAATACACAGATTGTGTCTTTTCACAGTTTACAC